ATGGTGTGTTGCTGAGAAGATACTGGAAACTGTGAAGAAGTGGCTAAGAAGAGAGGAAAAGAAGGGAGACTTATATACTTCTTAGCCTTTCTTCACACCGTAACTCCAGACATTTTTCAGCATACTCCCAGCAGCTTCCTAGAAACACACCTTCTCCTCATCCAGATACATTCCATTCACTTCCTTTAAAAGCCACTGTGCTAGGAAAAATAAGGGGTAAGTGCTGGCAGTATTGTGCTGATTGCCATTTCAAAGGTTCAAGTTTAAAGAAGTCTTGAGAATGCTCTCACAATGATTCTTAACTCACATCTGGTAGACAGACCATGGTTCAAATACTAATCTATGCCTTGGTGTCCCTGCTGATGGCAGGGGGGTTGGGACTGGATGAGCTTTAAGGTCCCTTCCAACCCAAACCAGTCTGGGATTCTATGATTCTATTGTTACTGAAGCATAATTACCGTGATTGTCAACTTATGTGATCAAATGGAAAGGAGCAGGTACAAAGGACAACCTCTTTATTTCTACAATTCAGGAATTGAAAAGCCTGGTGTTAGTTAAATGCAGTACCTGTCTGGTTGTAATGCATCCAGTTCAGCATGATCTCAGGAGCCCTGTACCACCGGGTAGCCACATACCCGGTCATCTCATCATCTGTGTGTCGGGCCAAGCCAAAATCCAGGATCTACAGAACAGAAAAGACATCCACCAACTACTGCAGTGGAACAACACAAACTAGCTAGAGCTAATAACCAGGCACTTATTGGATTGGGTGGAGGAGATGTGGTGCAACTGCAAAAGCAGATTATGAAACTAAATTTCACAACCTGTTAAAAGACACTAGCCTAGAACAGCATAGGACTCAACAATCAGAATTATGTCTGGGTATCTTCTCTCTGAAGCAACTAAACCCAAATTAGAGCTGTTAACTCTTCATTTTCATGATGATTCATTGAAAACACATGAACAGATAGAGCAAAAACATCCTTACAACTCTTCACAGCTTGGAAGGATGATGTTACTTTGGGCCACAAAAGTATTTCTATAAGGAATTATTTTACCCCTTTCATACCAAGGACATCCACAAAGCATTCACTCAACTCACAGTCAAACCAATCAGATCTTGTGATTACATTACCTTGAGCTCACAGTCTTCATTTACAGCTAAGTTACTAGGCTTTAAATCCTAAAAAAAAATCAAAAAACATCACAGATCAGCATTAACAGCAGTATATATATTGTTTCACAAGTCTAAAGCAGATAAAAATGTAAACACAGACAGAAAATAGATTCTAACTCGCTGTAAATATCAACTTTCCATTACTTGGGGAAATGATTTAATCCCAGAGTCAGCTCTCTCTCCTGTGATCCTCTGAGGTGTCACATATAAGCAAAAATGCATAAAGGCTTATTGTAATACCAGTGCTGTAGATGTAAATTTAATAAATAATCTATTTCACAAAGATACAAGCCAAATACAGGCAGGAACAGAAACTATGGACCTTGACAACCACTTCCTATGTTTAACTGAAATAATGGAAATTTCTTCTTGTTTCTACAGGTGCTACATTGGAAGGAAACAATCTTGGGATACATACTCACCCTGTGTATTATGTCAGCTGAATGGATGTACTGTAAGGCAAGATGACAAATTTTATTTAACAGTCCAAGTAGCCTCCTTCTCATTTCTTCACTAGACAATACTGCCCTGCCCCATCCCACACAATTCAAATGCTCCAGCTTGTCTGCAGAAGGAACCAAATGTGTGTCCATGGGTTTCAAGCAGGTCTAGGTGTTTTGCTTTGTCTCTGCTTAGGAACACCCAGGAGCATTGCCACCACGAATGGGACAACACAAATAAACAAAACTGATTGATTCATAGAGCAGATTGGAGGGCACATACTCTGCCAGACTGTGCCCACAGGAACATCTAGAAATATCTTCTTAAATGATAGCTTTATTGATACAGAGCTCCAAAGAGGTATGGAGGGGAGGAACAAGAATAAAAGGTTATCCTATGATACGTTAGGGAAGTTACAGAAGCCCTACTATGTACTCATATGAATCTCAGGATATGACACTCATCAAGAACTTCCACCTCCCATTGATGAGCTATCAACATTCAGGTAGGGCAGGAGCAAGTACCTTCAGTCCCCGAAGAATCTGGTATATGAGGAACTGCACATGGTCATCGGTGAGTTTCTGGCATTTCACAATGTTGTTCAGATCTGCTCCCATAAGGTGTGTCACCAAGTACCTATGAACAAAAGGAAACACAAAGGCTATGAAGAAATCCCTTCAACAGGATTAGGATATCCCTGTGAAGCTCCAGGAGCAGGGCTGACTGTCTCAAAGCACGTTGCTGAATGAACACTGCTGAAGTTCATGACACTTTAAATAATATAGCAAATTAGTACGCAGATTCCTACAGCATTGGTCAATAAAACATAAATGAACAAGTTTAAAGAGTCCAACAGTTTTGGATATCTTAGTATCTCTGTGTTGGAATTCAGAATTGTTTGAGAATGATGGCAGGCAAATTAAAGTGGCAAATATTTCTGTAACAATCTGGGAGATGCAATGAAGATACACAAGATGTTTTGTTGCAGTCTTCAGAGATGTTACCTACACATCATTGAATTCTTCTAGTGACTTCGCAGGGGTGAACACATCCAACAAACCAATCACCTAGAAAAAAAACAAACAGTAAAGTGAAAAAGCTGTGAAATACATTCATAGTATAATATGATACAGTTAATAAGATCCTTTGTGCAGTAGAAACTGCTCATTCCAGCAGATGTTTTGCTTCCAACTACATAAATCATTCAGATATAGACAAATCAGTGTTCATACAACATCAGAAACAAACATTCAAGTCATAAATATTAAGGTTAAAAATACAGAGCTGCCTTTTCACACCAGCCATCCATTTAAAATCAAACAGGAGCTATAACAAAAGGCACATACAAACACTGGTTTAGAATATCTTCTTGCAAAAATCACCCAAAGTTTGTTCAGGAAATAAATGGATGAGAAAAACAACAACAAAAAAACCCCTAATCACTAGACAAAACTGTTTGCTTCCTGCTCAATTCTTAGTTATTGTGCTGACTACATACTAAATATCACAACTGGGAGACTATATTTGTTTCACTTGTACAGAGTCATGGCTAGAAAAATTCAAGGATCTGTAACACAAGCAATGAATAATAATGACTACAAAGGAAAATAAACGAGGAAAAGAGCACGATGCAATGAGGACCCCATTTTCACAAACAGCTTCGCACTGTTATTTGTATTTTCTGCCCAAAGAGCAGCTATTCCACCTTTCATTTTACTGCTGAGCTGCTAACAGTAGAGAGTGAAAGAATATGCATGTGTTACCTTGTGGAAAAGAATAACTATAGCTTATCATCCCACAATTATCTTCTAGGTCATTTATATAATTTAAAAATATCCATCTGGTTGATAAAGATTGTTCTAATTTTCATAGAATCATAGAATGGTTTGGGTTGGAAGGGACCTTAAAGCTCATCCAGTCCCAACCCCCCTGCCAGCAGCAGGGACACCTTCCACTAGACCAGGTTGCTCAAAGCCTCATCCAACCTGGCCGAGAACACTTCCAGGGAGGAGCAGCCACAGCCTCTCTGGCCAACCTGTTCCAGTGTCTGACCACCCTCACAGTGAAGAATGTGTTTCACTGGAATGTGTTTTTAAACTTTATTTTCCTTCTCTTAATAGCAAATCATATTTTATTTTATGAATATACAAGATAAAGGGACAGGTTCTCTTCATCCACCTCCAAAAGACTCCTCTTCCCTTCTAAAGTCAGCGACTTCAGCCATGGTTGAAACACACACACCAAACCAAGAGATGGGTTTGTGTCTTCCCCTTTGCACCATCCTTTTTATCCCACTGTTTACACTTCCCAAGGATGTCAGAGCCAACTGAGTTACGTTCAAGCAGAGAATTAAAGACAAAAATCTTTGGGGAATTTAGACTATGCTTTTGGAAAAGAGAGCAAGTGGGTAGGAAATAAAAGTCTCTGTCTAATCTATGTTATAGCTTATAGATTGCATTTTATTGAGGAAACTGGAGAGAGCACACTTTCCTGCCTCTCTTGATATACATGGCAGCAACTTCATTTCTAGACAGGTATCTTCTTAAATTCTAACATTCACATCCACCCTGTATAGTAATTCTTGTGCTTACAGTGTCTCTCTCTCCAGTGGACTCTTCCCTATCAGTTTTTACAGGAAAAAAAAATAAAAAATAACATTATCCACCCAGTTCAGCCTGGAAAGACAAAAACTGACTTTGTTCTTGAGACTTCAGGGTTTTTTTAATTATCTTTTTTTATCTGGCAACACTGTAAAGCACAGTATCAAACTATCCATATCTTTCACGGAGTTCCACAAACACTTAAATACAGCAATTCCGCAGCGCATCACTGACTCACTTCTAAGGAAGTGTGAACACCAGGAGACTCAGAACCCAAACTCCTAACCTTTTGCTTTCCCCTCCCGGCATTTTAGGATGTCAGAGAGCTTATTAACTTCTTCATATGACAACAAACCCATTTGCTCTCCCATCTGCTCAATGTTGTGCTTTATACAAGCTAACAAGGCTTCTTGGAACTTGAAAATAGAAGGCAGACACGCTCGAGTGCTCTGCAGGTTCATTTCTTTGCTCAAGATCTTCATGAACCAGACTGGATACAGGATCTAGAAACCCCTCCTATGCTCAAGCTCCTTTAACTGCCATAGCCACCAGGTTTGCTGGTGCCTACTGTGCCATGTAAAATCCAATGTTTTCTGTCCAAACTGTGATTTGAATAGTTAAGACACCAGCACTAACAAGCCTCCCTGAACATCTCTGCATCTGCAGGATTTTTAAACCACAACCTCGATAAACTTCCCACAGATAGACAACAGGACGATGAACTGATAATAAATATTTCTATATATAAACAACTTAACTTCCTTTTACCTCTTGCTCTTAAAGCTACATAGGCTTTTTGCAATACTAATCCCTAAAATATTAACGAATGTCACAGAATTGGTGCAGCACCACTCACAATCTAATTTCCATTGCTTAACCTTGTTAGTTTAGACAAAATGGATTGATACGCTGATTTTTATTGGGAGGAACAGATATTCAAAGCTTTCCTGTTTGGAGAATATCTCAGCCATGAGAATGGGTGCAGAAGAAAAACTCCAGAGGATGGATGTTAAGCAAGATCAAATTTTACCTCTACTGTTGAGACAATGGTATTGTACAGAGGCTCTGAGGAGGAATTGTTGACAATAGTGTATATATATCATAGAATCATAGAATGGTTTGGGTTGGAAGGGACCTTAAAGCTCATCCAGTCCCACCCCCCCTGCCAGCAGCAGGGACACCTTCCACTAGACCAGGTTGCTCCAAGCCTCATCCAGCCTGGCCTTCAACACTTCCAGGGCGGGGGCATCCACAACTTCCTTGGGCAACCTGTTCCAGTGTCTCACCACCCTCACAGTGAAAAACTTCTTCCTAATATCTCATCTAAACCTCCCCTCTTTCAGTTTAAACCCATTTCCCCTTGTTTTGTCATTAACTGCCCTTATGAAAAGTCCCTCCCCAGCTTTCTTGTAGCCCCTTCAGGTACTGGGAGTCCGCTATAAGAGCTCCCCGGAGCCTTCTCTTCTCCAGGCTGAACAGTCCCAACTCTTGCAGCCTGTCTTCACAGGAGAGGTGCTCCAGCCCTCGGATCATCCTGGTGGCCCTTCTCTGGACTTGTTCTAACTGGTCCATGTCTTTCTTATGTTGGGGGCTCCAGAACTGGACGCAGTATTCCAGGTGCATCAAAAATTCCAATTATGTTAGCCACACTAAAAACACCAAAAAGATTTAGGGGATAGCAGGTGCTGAGTGTGGGGGTCAGGAGCCACAGCACACAGCCACCAATGCCTCAACACAAGCTCTGACCAGAGCATCCAAGGAGAAATTCCAACAAAATCAGGTTTGTTTGGCTTTTTGTGCTCGATAAAGGTCCTGGGTTTGCTCAGCTCACTTACCAAACAGTATTTCCCTTTTGCTAAGTTGGAGTTTGCTTGGACAAAAGAAATTAAGAGCCTTCCTTTCCTCTTGACATGCTGACAGCTCTACAGAGGGTAAGTTAGGAGGCTTTTTGCTCTGCTGCACATATTTGCTCCAAACAGCATGCAATATAAACATGTTGGTGTGTTAATGCCACAGACATAAAAAACAGGTCAATCAGTTTCTATTTTCTATACCAGATGTAGATTATATCAAAAAACAGTTCAACGTAACATTTGTCACATCCTATTTTGTTTCCCTGTTGATGATTTAAGTGGGTGGCTTGTATGAAAAGCCATCTGACTTCTACCCCCTCATCACCCCCTTTTTTCCTCCCTATTTTACCTACAGGTGAACATCTATTCCACAGGGAAGACTCTAAAAAAAACAAACTTTGGGATTTTCCTTTTTTAAAGGAATTATTAACATAACAAAAACTACAGTTCATTACAGCAAGGGTGCAGGAGAATGTAAATGACACCACCTGTGTCCTAAATTAACCTGCTAAGCAGTCATTTCTAGACTGTTCTAGGAAATATGAACATCCTTAAATAAAAAATTGGTTATGCTGGGGTTTTTTGTTGTTGTTTTGGTGGGTTTTTTTTAAATCTGCGTGCTTTTCTACAACTATAATCCCTCGGACTACTGCAAGCTTTGTATTTAGTATTAGAAAACAATGTATGCAACAAGATCCTTAAATGCAATCACGTTAGATGCTCACTGGATAGTCCAATTTTAGATCAACTTTTCATACCATCTCCTTCCACTTACATTTTCATGTTTCATGTGCTTAAGCAGTCGTAGCTCTCGGTAGGTCCTTTTGGCATGGATGATAGACTGAAATGGTCGGGACAGCTTCTTTACAGCCACACGCAACCCAGTTTTTGTGTCAAAGGCAGAACTACAATAAAGAGTAATCAAATTATCAAAATTAAGTCTTTATAAATGCCTCCAAACATCATCTTAGAACCCATGAAGACTAAATCCATCCTATTTGTTAACTTCACATACATAGAGTTGATATTTTGTACTGTAAATTTATCTTTTGAAGTCCTATTATAACCTTTTTTTTAATATAATATTAAGAAGCAAAGACTGATACTTTTGAAACAACCAAAAATTTAACACATGAAGAACTACATTAAATTTCTGATGCACTGCATAAAGTCTTCCAGAGCTTCTGGCTTATATTCGAGGAACTAAAGAAACGTAGGTGTTTAGCTGTGAACCACATTACTCCTCTTTCTTCTTTCCTTTGATGTTCTTATCTAAAAGAGTTCTGGTTTGTCTAAAAGGAAGGAGGAAGAGAAAGAGAGGATGTGAAATTAAGGTTACACTTGATTCAAGATAATAAACAAGGGGAAAGTATGGAATGGAGAAAGTCAGAGCACAGTATTTGTTTATTTTCCTGCTACATTTTGATTCGGGGAGAACTGATTCCATTTAGAAGTGAGTATGCACGAGTTCTTGATATTATCAAGTGAAAAAGAAAGTTATACATTTGTAAATGTAAAGTGTGAAGCAGCTTAACTAACAGAAAGTTCAAAACCAATCACAAAAGTAGTCCTAGAACAAAACCACCAAGGCAGACACAACCCTCAGCCCTGCAAAAGGAGTTATTTGAAATAAATGTCATTTATTTTGAAAGCAACTAACTGGAATTAATTTGCAAAAAGATTCTTTATTTCCAAGATGCTCAGTTTCCCAGGAACTTGCTATATGAGGTTTATGAGAAATAGAAAACAAAATACAAGCTTGTTTCTATGAAGAGTGATATTTCCTGCAGGTCCTGCAAGAGAATGGAAAAACCCACCGTGCACGATGGCAGAAGAGTATCTCCTTCTCTATAAGGAGGGACCTGCATGCACACAGTGGAAAGAGCTCTCTGGAACAGACACAGAAGTACAGCTGGACAGAAGATTCCCAGGAGCACCAAACTGCCACACAGCTGAATTACTCAAGCTACACCACAATGCCTCAAAGAATGCCCAACCGCTTTCACACAACTCATCCTTTACACCTCACTCAGCCTGGGTGAGGCAAAAGAAACCATTAAACGTTCATTTTTTAATCTTGATTTCAAATGATCATCAGCAAGTCTTCACATACCACTACAATATCGATTATCCAAGCTGCAACACCTCAGGAAAAACAGTATTAATTTTTTTTTTAAGCTTCACATACACCATTTTGCAATATACAAACATACCTAATTCAGGCTGTAATAATATGACAATATTTTAATAATACTCAAGGTGTTTTCTAGGACTTAGAGCAAAAATATGATTAGTCATCATAATTCAACCCATGCAGTTGTGAATTAGTCACGAATCTTTACCAGCCTTCAAACATTTTGGGTATAAGAGGCAGCATATGCCACTAGCTCTTTCATCTTGAAAAGAAGATGATCCTTCACAGCTACACAGTCAGAATTCTCTCTTGGTTTCCACAAGAATCTCTCTAGAGAACACTTCAGAGCCACCAGACATAATATAAGCTACCTCAGTGCCCAAAGGAAATTCAATTTCACCTTCTTTTTAATGAATGCAATTTCACCTTCTTTTTAATGACATTTTTAGGGTTGTATCAAGTCATTGTTCTGCTGTAGTAGATTTACAACCCCTAAGGAGAACAGCAATCAGAAATGAGAAACTGATTAACCAGCACAATAACTCTGTGCACAAACCCAGGAAATACAATTCTGTATTGCTGCACATTCACAACCAGGAGTTACTCTTGAAGTCAGAAGAATAAGTTCAGTCCTATTTGAGGCCTAAAGACTATTTCCCTCCAGATAAAGGCATGCTGAGTAATTTTTCTGCCGACACAGATAACTGCCTAATGGTTTTCAGGAGTACAGAACACAGAGCTACAGAACAGCTGTCCTGCTGGAGAACATTTTAAAGAACACTAAGCTGGCTTTCATCACAGACTTAAAACAGCTGCATTACACTGATCATATTTCTGTTAAAAAAAAGCCCAATTGGGGAAAAAAAACCCTGCATGATCCACAGTTTTAAATCCCTTTTAAAACAAGATCAGCACAAGTTCAGAGCTGATGACAGCTTCCATGTTTTTTAACCTCTTACATAGGATTGCACCAGGGCACACGACCTGCATCCACCTCACCCTGAAGTGAGCTAAAACTGCAATGCTGAGCTAACCCGAACTGAATCCAGAACACAAGAGCTAAAATAAAACCATTCTTTTAGAGAACCTAGCCACTGATTCAACTTACCTCCTTCAAAGTAATATCTGAAATAGTCTGAGGAACTGAAGTGCGCACAAAATGACTTCAGAGTGCAATTTATTTAAACATTAGATAATCAGAATATTCACTGTTGTGCAAAGGTTATTTTGGTAAGCAGTATGCTGCTCATCACTGGTGCCTGTGCAATCACCCAAGCCAAGTGAAGCTCTTCAGTGGTACATTTGGAGTTAATTTACACACCCCTGGCTATAAACAGAAAAAACAGTTCTTAGCCCTTGACAGTTTATGGTTAACACCAGTCACTTTGGAGGTGTATACATACAGATCAATCACTCACCTTCCCAACACACTATAAGAAGCTGTAAATCTTATTCTCTTCTGCTACCTTGGCTTCTGCATCTAAGAAAGTTGCAATAAAAAAAATCTCTCCATAGGACAGATGTGCTCCCACTAATTTCATTTCTTAATACACCAAGTTCCCATGAAGTTCAAACTTTGCTTTCAGAGCTCTGCTCGTGGCTTTTCTGTGCATACCCATCTCCTGCTCAATCCCCCTTCCTCACATGTGCTCTGCTCATCCTACCTGTACGGCTGCTTCATCCCACTCACAGGTTTGCAGTTCTTTTCATATCACTCCTCACGTATTTACCACACCTTACTGGAGAAGCAGGCACCTGTCCCTCCAAGTGCACACATATGTTGGAGGCACTTGCACGCTTTGATAAGGGATTAGTAAGTCTAAAGACACATGTTGGTTAAAAAAATAAATCCAGGGAGGAATAGTTACTACAAAGGTGATATTTAGGGTTGTTACTTCATTTCCTCTGGAGCCTAATGTTTTAAGATGTCTTAAATCCATAGTGTTTCTCTGTTAGTTTAAGAAGAGAAGAATTATCTCAGTATCTTCTCAATACCCAGGAAAGTCAGAGTCGGTGTTGGTACAACTGTGGGTCAAAATGGGAAGAAATCACAGGTTTTGGAAGCGCAATATAACCTGACAGACTACAAACAAGAAAAGCTAAAAATTTCTTATGCAAGATTCTGAGAAGAATAAGTCTTCAGTGTTTGATTCCTTTACAAATTAAATAAGGTAATACAGACAGCCTGCAAAGCAAATAAACCAAAAACCTTCTTTTACAAAGGTATCGATACAACACACAAAGAACTGCAAAAAAAATACAATAATGAAGTCAACTCCTGAGAGTACACAGAACCTACCTTCACAGCATTTTAGAAATGGTGAAGACCATTCAAAACACCTCTGTGCTTAGCTCAGAGCTGGCTGATCTAACGCTGTTGGCTGAGATTTCCCTCCAGCACAGAGAAGAAATGAAGCGATCCTGCAGCTGAACTGTGAGTCACCCATCCAACCCATCTCCATTCAGCAACTGCCCACTGCAAGGTGCTGCACTGCCCAGGCCCCTCTCCTCCTCACACGACCTATTAACAGACTAATACTTCAGGAACCCACGTGTGTTTTAGTGCAGACCTGGTTACAAAACCCTTTTCATGCAGAAGACTGTGTTGTATGAATATACAAAACTGCTGCAAGAAGAAATGAAATAGCATTTCACACAGCATAGAATCCCAGACTGGTTTGGGTTGGAAGGGACCTTAAAGCTCATCCAGTCCCAACCCCCCTGCCAGCAGCAGGGACACCTTCCACTAGACCAGGTTGCTCAAAGCCTCATCCAACCTGGCCTTCAACACTTCCAGGGAGGAGCAGCCACAGCTTCCTTGGGCAACCTGTTCCAGTGTCTGACCACCCTCACAGTGAAGAACTTCTTCCTAATATCTCATCTAAACCTCCCCTCTTTCAGCTTAAACCCATTTCCCCTTGTTTTGTCATTAGTTGCCCTTATGAAAAGTCCTTCCCCAGCTTTCTTGTAGCCCCTTCAGGTATTGGAAGGCCACTATAAGATCTCCCCGGAGCCTTCTCTTTCAGCAGATGTCACAGCGATTGTTACACGATTTAGCAACGATCAATCTGAGGAGACACATCCATATTTCTCCAAATTTTGGAACTGAATCTCTACTTGCATCTCCACATACTTCCTTTTTTTTTTTTCTTTTTTTTTTTTTTTTTTTTAAACAGATCCTGAATAACACCCGAGTTGGCCATATGAACTAACCCTGCACCCAATATTTCAGAAAACATTAGAATATTTGCTGTAATTTTAAGGACATACCTTGGGTGCCTTAAGCTGCCTGCAGAAAATGTCTCTCACTCTCCATCCACTGACTACAAAATAAAGTCAGTTTCTTATATGAGGGTGTTCCAAGTCATATTCACATTATTTAAAGAGCCTACAGCAGACAGCTCCATAGTCTAAATGATTCATCTGCAGGCTTAAATTTTTCTTTTATATTAATTCCCCTCCTCCCCTTTCTAGAAATTCCTCATTTTTAAATGCCTCATCTTGACAACTAAATAAACAGAGCATTTTATTACCATCTAATAGAATAATGCAGGAGGCATACACGGAGTATATTTAACCATTCACTTTAAGGGTGGTTAAACCCTTACAATTTACTATCCCAACACAGAGATATTCCAAACACAAAGTCTCAAGTGAAATCAGGTAATTTTTCACTGGGTAGAAAAAAATTAAATCTCTAGAGGGTCAAAGAGTGGAACAAGTCATTGCAGGAATATCCTAAATACTATCCATCACCATTTGCAGC